TAAAAAAAAAAAAAGAAACAAATTTAACAAACCTGAGTTTAAATCCCTATTCCTCACCTCTTAGTATGTCCTTGGGAAAGTCAGTTAGCCTTTTAGAGGCCCATATGCTTATATTGAACACTTAGGAAACAATAAATAAATAAATAAATAAATTTAAAAAACACCTATATTTGTCGAGGTGCCTCATGCTTATAATCCCAGCACTTCGGGAGGCCGAGGTGGGTGGATCACTTGAGGTCAGGAGTTTGAGTATAGCCTGGCCAACATGGTGAAACCCTGTCTCCACCAAAAATACAAAAGTTATCTGGGCCTGGTGGTATGTGGTGTATGGCTGTAATCTCAGCTCTTGGAAGGGCAAGCCAGGATAATTCTTGAAACCTAGAGGCGGAGGTTGCAGTGAACCGAGATCGTGCCACTGCACTCCAGCCAGGGTGACAGAGTGAGACTCCATCTCACAAAAAATAAAATAAACAAACAAAAATGCACATACACACCTAGGAAACAATCACTGCCTCACAGGATTGTTGTAAGAACTAAATAAGATTTAAGTATGTAAAAGTATATAGAATAGTGTCTGGCATACTGTGGGAGCTTGGGAAGAGATAGCTGTTCAGCCAAACTTCTTCCAGAGGATTCTTAATACCAGAAAGATTGTGAAGTGTTAGTCCCTCAGAGGAACCAGGAGACTAGAGATTTTGAATTTAAGCTTTGGGGAAGAGTTGTTCGATAAATAACTGATTTTTTTTTCTGTTTTCAGATGCAGGCACTATAGAAGCAAATGAGGATATGGAAATTGCTTACCCCATAACTTGTGGGGAGAGCAAAGCCATCCTCCTCTGGAAGAAGTTTGTGTGTCCGGGAATAAACGTGAAGTGCGTCAAGGTAATCATCTTCTCTATGCTGAAGACAATTTTGAGACTCCTTGTTTTTAAAGGGCGTGATTTCAGTGCCTCCTTTTTCTCTTCTACTGTATCAGGGTTGTGTGTGTGTGTGTGTGTGTGTGTGTGTGTGTTGGGGGGGCTATTGTTCTAATGTGTCACAATAGAAAAAATAAGAACTTTGGGTTAGGTGTGGTGGTTCATACCAGTAATCCTAACACTTTAAGAGACCAAGGTGGTGGGAAGATCACTTGAGCCCGGAAGCTCAGGACCAACCTGGGCAACATATTGAGACATTGTTCTCTCTCTCTCTTTTTTTTTTTTTTTTTTTAAAAGACAGTGACTTCATGTGTTGCCCAGGGTGGAGTGCAGTGACATGATCTTGGGTCACTACAGCCTCAACCTCCTGGGTTCAGGTGATTCTCCCACCTCAGCCTCCTGTGTAGCTGGGACTACAGGCGTGCACCATTGTGCCTGGCTAATTTTTTGTAGAGATGAGGTTTTCATGTGTTGCCTGGGCTGGAAAATGTTGCATCTTAAAAAAAAAAAAAATTGGCCAGGTGAGGTGGCTCATGCTGGTAATCCCAGCACTTAGGGAGGTTGCAGTGGGTGAATCACCTGAGGTCAAGAGTTCAATACCAGCCTGGGTAACATGGTGAAACTCCATCTCTACTAAAAACACAAAATTTAGCCAGTCATGGTGTCAGGTGCCTGTAGTCCCAGCTACTCTAGAGGCTGAGGTGTGAGAATCGCTTGAACCCAGGAGGTGGAGGTTGCAGTGAGCTAAGGTTGCGCTGTTGCACTCCAGTCTGGGTGACAGAGTGAGACTCTGTCTCGATAAAAAGAAAGGAAAAGAAAAGAATTATTAGATTGACTTGCCCAAAAAAAAAAAATTGATAAAAATATAATTGCAGGCCGGGTACAGTGGCTCATGCCTATAATCTGAGTACTTTGGGAGGCCGAGACGGGTGGATCATGAGGTTAGGAGTTCAAGACCAGACCAGCCTGGCCAAGATGGTGAAACCCTGTCTCTACTAAAAATACAAAAAAATTAACGAGGCGTGGTGGCGGGCACCTGTAATCCCAGCTACTTGGGAGGCTGAGGCAG